TCAAGGTGTGGCCGTTTGGTGCTTTTTTAGTTGACTCTGGTACCCCTTTCACATAATCCAATGTGTGACTTTAGTTATTTAAAATTCTTTTGACTAAAAAAAATTTGACATGTTAAAGTTGCACAGGTTTGAAAATATCTTCTTTGAAGAAAATGGGTTTATAGATGTCACATTTTTACATATATTTTCATTTTCTCCATGCAGAATTTTGTTTCTGTGGAAGGAAGTTGCTTAGTGTGTAAGTTTCCAATCTTGGGCTGGGAGTCTCACCAGGAAACAGCTACGGTGTTCTAATGGGTTTAGGTGGATGAAACAACTGAAGGCTTTCCTTTTGTTGGTAAAGAAGTCCCCACAGGTCTTTTGTGTTATTCTGCACAACTTTCAAGCAGAAGCACACTTTCCAAGACTGTCTCTATAGTAAACAACCTGGTAGAGGACAGAAATGGTGTAACCTTTCGGAGCAAAAGGCAGACGGGTTCAGTGTCTGGCACAGTGAAGAGAATGTCTCTTTCCGAGACAGGGTAGGCAGGTTTGCTTGCAGTTTGTTATGAAGGATTCCGGGTCCGTCGGCTGCTGCAGATCCTCGGGATGGACAGCATTCACCTGAGGCGTCTGCCCTGGTTAGCACCTGGGGACAAGGGGAACTGAGGCAAACATGCAGCTCATTCTGTTCCTGTGTGGGAGATACCAGAGCCCTTCCAGTTACCAACAAATCTGGAAGACTTGCATGGTTGTCAACATCACTAATTGGAGGCGGGCTGTCTTGTTAGCGTGCGAGGAGGGTAAGATCTGACACTTTTCTCCGGCTGTGATATCTTGCCTTTAATTTGGATTTGTATCTGCGGTATTCTGAAATGTCTCAGCTCAATTTAAGACTTTAAGGAATGAAAAAAAAATTTTTTTAAAAAGGGATAAAAAGAGGATCCCCAATAAAACTGCAAAATATGCCTTGACAATAGGAAACTGGACTTTCTACCACTGTCTATACCTACAGTGCCGTGATACACTTAAATAGCTGAATGATGGACTTGTGACTGTTGCTGAAGGATTGTACTATTGTAATAATATGGTGGGGGAGGAATGAGGGGGAGAGAATGGGGAGGGAGGAAAGGGAGAATCTCTACACCTACAAAACCATATCATGAAAAATAAAGAAAAACATCTAAAGTAATACAAAATAAATAAAACTTAAAAAGATAGAATCATGACTCATATACAAAAGTCTGTTAAAAGTTTATTTACCTCATATTTAAGGAGACTCAGCCAGATGTCATACTTTTAAAGGAGAGCTTGAAAATAAATTCATGTGGAGGAAAAAAAATGTCCAAGTGTGCCCACCAAGAGGCACACAACTGCTTTTTTCCCCACGGGAGTTGGGGTGGGGTTGGGAAGTGGGGAGAGGTGAGTATGCGGAACCTCCATCAGAGAGATCTCGTTTGCATGTCGGTAGACAAGAATTATTTGCATTGCTGTCAGTCGTCCACAATTTGCAGTGGTGGAAAAGAGATACAGACTTCATGGAAACAGATAACCCGGACAAGTGTGCAGCAAACAGTGCCTAATTTCCAGTGAAACGCACAGTCATCTTTCATGTGTATTCCAAGATCTTAACTTTTCCTTGTACCAATAAAATGTACTCCAATAATGTTCCCAAGGTTATGGATCAAATGGGGGGAACTGAAAGGAGGCCAGGAAATGATTTTTTAAAAGGAAACCTAGAAAGTCCACACTGAGGAAAGGTAAGAGGAGAGAAGCAAACGGTCTGCTCTGAGAATAGGACTTGATACAGCGGGGAAACACTTGCTCCAGCTCTGAATCAGGCAAGTTCCTAATGACATCGATTTAGACAGCTCCTTTCCAGACCACTAGGTGTCGCTAAGCAGGTGTGATGATCTGGACGGTGGAGTGCAGGAGTGGCAACATCCAATTAATAGCCACACTTTGCTGATTCACAATTTTGGGGAGATTCTTAATGGCAAGACGTTGTTCCCTCTGCATCTATTCCATGGACGGGCATGAAATATGCGTTCAGTACTGTGTTTCTTGAATGAATTACTCAGAATGCAGGAGTGTTTTTGCAAGGTAGCCAACCCAAACACATGGCATTTCTAAGTAGGGGGTCTTTGAAAGTCTCTGAACATGCTAGGACAGAGGGAGAAAGCATTCTCAATGAGAGGTTTGGTCATTGCAACAATGGGAGACAAATGCAGCCAGGAAATAGGCATGGTAAATTTATATACTGTTTCCACTGCCTGTCAGACGCAGCAAAATTCCTGTGTGTAGATATACCACCAATCATCCCTCTATTTATTTTTGTTCTGTTCCCTTTACTCCTACTCCCCAAACATTTTATAGTAATTCGAATTAATTTCTGTGCAATGAGAAACTGATGGCATGCCAGTTATAGTTTCATATAATTTATATAAACATAAAATGAAAAGTAAAAATAGAGGGTCAATAACCGCTGATTAGAAAAATAGCTGGAAGGAAGGAGACCAATCAGGAAACTCTCAGAAAACCCCAAGGCCAGAACTTCTTCTTTCTCTTTACTTTCCCGGCTCCTCTGAAGCCTTTGGGGACATCTGTTGGTTCTGCTTGCCTAACCCTTTCACTCTTCTACTACTTGTTACTAAGAAACAGTAAGCCAGGCTGGGCCAATCAGGGGCCCAGCTTCTGAAGACTGTCTCTTAGCCTGAAAACCATGGCCATGTTCATGTCTTCACGTCTCAAGCACACGGTTCTTTGGGTCTTGCTTCCTGGAAGCCCTCCGGTGCCTTTGTTCCTGTTTGTTTTCAGAGACCTATGTCGTCATGTTTCCCTGGGGCGTGGGAGTTACCTCACTCTCGTCTAACAAATTTCTAGTTACCGTAGATAGGGAACTCTGCAGAAATCCAGACACTGATTATGTCTGCAGCCTCTGTTAAACTCACTCCGAACATTTTGCCTTGAAGACAAGGAATAACCAACATTGAGGCCACTCACTATGTTCCCGACACTCTTCTAAATACTCATGTGTGTTTTTTTCAGTTAATCTCCACAATGATCTCATCGGGTCCATTTTATGGATGAGAAAGTTGAGGTACACAGTGATCAAATAACATGCTCCTTTCCAAATAGCCAGGTTAATGTTTCCAATGTTTGTTTAGTTTTTTCAGAATTGCAATAGCTTCTTGGTGATAATATAACAAAGTATCCCAAATCGGGTGACTTAAAACAGTGGAAATCTGTCATCTCGCAATTCTGGAGGCTGCAAGCCCAAGCTCAGGAGGTCAGCAGAGCAATGCTCACCATGATTTTTTAAAAAATTTTTTATTGTAAAATCAGATATACAGAGAGGAGGAGAGACAGAGAGAAAGATCTTTCGTGTGCTGATTCACTCCCCAAGCAGCCACAATGGCTGGAGCTGAGCCAATCCGAAGCCAGGAGCCCAGAGCCTCTACCAAGTCTCCTGTGTGGGTGCAGGAGATCCCAAGGTTTTGGGCTGTCCTCAACTGCCTTCCCAGGTCACAAGCAGGGAGCTCGATGGGAAGCGGGGCTGCTGGGATTAGAACCGGCGCTCATATGGGATCCCAGTGCATTCAAGGTGAGGACTTTAGCTGGCTATTGTGCCAGGCCAACCATGATTTTTTTTTTAAAAGATACATTTACTTATTGAAAGTTGGAGTTGCAGAGAGACAGGGAGTGAGAGGGAGGGAAAGAGAGAGATCGATCTTCCATCTGCTATTTCCTTCCCCAGATGGTCACAATGACCAGTGATGGGAGCTTCTTCTGGGTCTCCCAAGGGGATGACAGGGACCCAAGAACTTGGGATATCTTCTGCTGCATTTCCAAGACCATTAGCAGGGAGCTGGATAGGAATTAGAACACCCAAGACTCAAAACAGCACCAATACAGAATGCTGGTGATGCAGATGGCAGATTCATGCACTACATCACGCTGGCCCCTTCATGATGGTTTTAAGGGAGAATCTTTGCATCTCTGGCTTCTGATGGTTGGTGGCAACTCCTAGTGTTCTTGGGCTTGTAAATGCTTCACTTCATCTTCACCTCTACTGCCACCCAAGTGTTTTCTCTCCATGTGTCTCTCCCTTTCTTCTAAGGAGACCATCGTACAGGATGGAGGCTCACCTGCTCCACTCTGGCCTCATTTTAGCTGACCTCATCCACAATGATCCAGTTTCCAAATAAGGTTACACGCTGAGGCCTTGTGGTTAGTACTTCTCTTTTGTGAGATGTAATTCAATTCACAAACAAAAAATCTTAATAGAAATTGTCCCAGAAATAATTCTGGGATCTAATCGGTCCAGGAAACACCATTATAGGATTCTTGGCTATATGTAGTACTTGGGGCAGAAGGATGTTAACTGGTAATCTACAAAGGGAGTCCCAGCTGTGACCGTAAGTTAATATGCCTCCCATAGGTTTGATCAGAATCTTCCTTTTTGAGACCTCTTTTGTAACCAACATTCCATATGGAATGTTATTCTCATGTCCAGTAGAAGGCTTTTCTCTCACTTGCTAATGAAAATTACTTTTCTTCTCTGGGCCTGTATTTCTAGTATGGAGATAACAATCTACTCTTCTTAGGAGGACTACAGTAAGAAGGGTGAAAAGTACCTGGTCCAGCACCTGGCATCCAAGCAGGCGTTCTCGTAACAGTAGGTGCCTTTGGTCTGCTCAACAGATGGTCCTGACTTTCTTAACATTTTTAGTAAGTCGTTCTACAATCTCAAGGATATTTTCTAAATAGAACAAATTCCATAAGTAAGGTTTTCTTCAATTTTTTTTTCTCTTTAGGAAAATAATTTTCTTTATGGAAATAAAAATTTACCTTGGGCAAATATTCCACCCAACTGCTCTTTTAATAAGTTTCCAATATTAGCAAAAAATGGGTTGTTGAGCTCTAAAGTTCCTCATTTTCATCTTCCACCTCAGTGAGGGGAAGAGGGTGTGATCATGTGATTGCAGACAGAAGGAAACTGTGGGAGAGACCTCACTGCATAAAAGGCAACCTACAACCACCTCACTGTCAGAGAAGGCTGAGTGTTTGAGAGAGCTTGACTAAGACCCTCCCAGCATCCTGTGCCTCCAGCATGGAACCAAAGCAGATCAGGGAGGGCTACCTTGTGAAGAAGGTAAGTAGAGTGCCACTTGCAAAGGTGTAACTGGAGCCGGGCTGTGTGTGTGTGTGTGTGTGTGTGTGTGTGTGTGTGCATGTGTGCATGATTCGTATCCAGCCTAGTATTCTACATGCTGACATCATGAATGTTTCATGCTGAATCTTCATGCTATGTTGAAGTAGAAGTGGCTGCAGTATGAGGATTGTGTGGAGAAGAGATGGGAAACCAGTGCCTTGTTTCTTAAAGGTAAACTCACCCAGCTCAAGCTTCAGCACAGGGGGAACTCGTGGGTCCCAGGATTGTAGACTGCAGGGTTTGGAAGATGACAGCCCTATTCAAGAAGAGTTGTTATGATGTAGTAACTATAATTGATTCATAAAAAGGCCTTATCCTTAGTTGGGTTTAAATTTGTTCACCCATTCTTCCTAGAAGATTTGTGTAACCTGCCATCAAGTTTGGGAGACACACCATTTTAAAAATTAGGAAAGAGAAGTTCAGGTTTACTCAAAAAACACTGAAGTCTCACTGCTGTGGCATCAGAAAGATGGAGTTTTGCTGTCACTGTTGGTCTTTGTCTTGGTGTGAGTGGACGCTGAGTTGTTTCACCTCAGGATGTGACTTCATCTTTTGGGAATCACCTACTCTCATGGGCATGCACACACGTACACCACACCCACACATGTGTCCCAACAGAAGCGAGCTTAGGGCTTGACAAGCAAACTGAACTCAGAATCTGTTCAGATGCTTAGCTTTTTAACTGTATGAGCACCAGAGGCAACTCTGGGTTAGGCCACTCTTTGGTTCACACTTAACCTGACATCTGCTTCTAAAAAAGTTCCACAGGCTTCATGGCTGTCTGATTCTGCTTTGATTTCAGACCAGAAGGGACCTTAGATTGTCAGGCCTTTGTTGTGTCATTTGAAAGAGAAGACTGGGAACCAGGAGGGTCGGTGATTGTCCACCATCACATGGCTGTGACAGAGTTGGGATCAGAGACCTACAAGGATTACTGGGTTTCTGATTCATGGCACTGAAATCTGTTTAGGACCCCTATGATTTTATTAAAGCAAACTTAATCATATTTGTATTGTGTTCAGGTGGTATGTAAGGTATGAGTTAATGCTGGAGAATAAGTTACCCTCAGCCAGCTATATCCTTAAACATATTTCAGAAAACACACACACAAATATGCTGGCTTCTAGGTAGATTCTTCGTAATAGATGTCAATATTCTTTGAGAACCAACATAAAAAATGATGACTTTTTTTCTGTGATCACTTGGCCTACTACCCTCAGAACAGCAAGTAAATGAAACATATTTGGTTGGTTGGTTTTCAAGTTTAAAATAATCACAGATCTTTCCATGAAAATCATTGTTACAAATTTTTGTACTCATATTTTAAACTCCCTAAATTATAAGATAAAAATTCAAATAAATGAGGCTGTCTGAGAAAGCAGTGGATGATAGGCTATCAAACATTTGAGCTCAAATTAATAGTTTTTGATTAGTGAGAATAATCCTCCCAGATTATGGCCTACACAAGCTACTCTAGAAATGCACCTGGAATAAAATATAGTGAAATATCATATTCATGATTTCACAATTTTTATCTTCCATAATTTTCATGTTTACAATTTAAATTAATCAGATAATTTAAATCATGTTCATGTTTATATTTTAAATTATAAGATTTACATTTTTCCTTTTTAAAAAAGTCTTATTTATTTTTATGGGAAAGGCAGACCCACAAAGAGAAGGAGAGAGAGAAATATCCTCCATCCTTTGGTTCACTCCCCACGTGGCTGAAATGGCCAGAGCTGAGCCGATCCAAAGCCTGGACCCTTTTCCAGGTCCTCCATTTAGGTTTAGAGTCCCAAGGCTTTGGGCCATCCTCAGCTGCTTTCTCAGGCCACAATCAGGGAGCTGGATGGGAAGTGGAGCAGCCAGACACAAATTGGTGTCTACATGGGATTCCACAGCTTGCAGGATGGTGGTGAATTTCTTATCAGCGGGTTGCATTGCTTTTGTTATTTTGTAAACAAGCATGCTGTCTTGTCAGGGAACTGACTGATTTAATTTTATCCTTACAATTGTGCACATTTAAAAAAATTCTCCACCTCTGGCATCTTGCAGGTAGTATACTGTTTCATTCCCAGGGTATTTCACCTCTTTGAAGACAATTCTCATTGTTCTGCCTGTCACATATTTACTAAAACCTAGTCAATTCTTTTGCAAAATTCTCTAGGACAGATTGTGCTATTCTGAGACTATCTTTTGAAAAGCTCCTGTTGATGTGTTAGTTTGAGGGTCCCTGAACAAAATGATAAGGACAGAGTTATAGAGAATAGAGAATATTAATGAGTGTTTACTCTGTTCCAGGCAGTGATGCCAGCAATGTGCATGGGTTCCTTCAGTCTCTCCACAAACCTAAGTAGATATCATTTTCCCCATTTGCCAGATGTAGAAAAGCAGGGATTAAAATTTGCTCAAGAGTAAATTGCTAAAATGTAGCAGATCTGGGATTTGAGCCTGAGTTGTCCAGTTGCACAACCCATGGTCACTTTCCTTAGAGTCTATACTTCCAACTTACAGCCCACAATGAGGTTAGTGTCTTTTTGACAATCACATTCATATGCTCACCGTAATTCTTTCATTGTTCATACACCCATTTTCTCAAATTTTACCAATGCATTGTATAAATCCTTTAAAAATCTTTTTAGAGAAAAAGGGTACATTATTTAATTCTTTTACTGCTGTTGAAGCAGTACATTTCTATGTTTGCTGTATTCAAGTATTCCTTCTTTTAAGGATTGCTGCTTTATATTATTTATCCACTAGAAAACTGGGAATGCTTGCACATTTCTTGTTGATCCTAAAAGGTTAGATATATTAATGATACAAACCTTTAATCACCCGATGCTGTATTAAACACATCCATACATTTGCAATGGCTTTCAGCTGTTGCACTCTTTTAAAATTATTTATCCATTTGAGAGACACACAGAGATGTCCCATCCATTATCCATTGTCTAAGTGCAACTGTTGACGATGGAGCCAGACTGAATTCAGGGACTAGAGGTTCAGTCTCCTCTCAGGGTTGTATTAGCAGGAAGAGCGAGTCAGGAGCAAGAGGCAGGTATCAAATCTAGACCCTTTCCTATGGATGCAGCATCCTCTCCCATCCAAGTACTAACCAGGTCCAACCCTGCTTAGCTTCCGAGATCAGACGAGATTGGGTGCGTTCAGGGTGGTATGGCCGTAGACTGGATGCAGCATCCTAACCAGGATCTTCATGGCTCAGTTACTTTATAGTTTTTCACATATACAGAGATTTATTTTTATGTGGTTACATATCTCATCTTTTAAGGTTTTTTTTTTCCTTTTGTCATCATGCAATATGGCTCTGGTGTGTTAAATTATACCAGTCCTATGATGATGAGCAGTTTCTCACTGGCATCTTCCAGTCTGACTCATCATCTACACAACCAACTGTGAACATGCAATTTTACACATTATGACAGAAAGGATGAATATATGTGATATTATATATTTATATAGTTTATGTGCATACAAATAATCACATAGCAAATAGAAGTGTATACGAGGGAACTTGAAAACATTTGTGGAGAATTCAATGAAAAATCAGTTTATTTTAGTGCAGAAAAGTTTTAAAATCTATCTGTGCATGGTTCTTTTTACAACATGCATTTCTGTGAACTGTTTAAAGGCTCCTCATACATCTCTATAGCATTAAAATCAAATAGCTAGCTACAGGTCTAAAGAAACTGAATCAGGTTTCAGAATTTCTGTTACACAAGAACCAAAATGCAGGTGATGTCCAAGGGGAAAGGAAGGGAAGGGAAGGGAAGGAGCCCACAACTGGGAATTAAAAGATCAGGATTCTGGGCTTGGTGTGATGGCTCTGTTGGCTAATCCACCTTGTGAGTGCTGGGATCCCATATAGGCACCAGTTTGTGTCCCACTGCTCCACTTCTCATCACTTCCAGCTGGCTGACTTTTACCAACTAGTCCCATTCCAAGGCTGAATGCCTCAAGGGACTGTGCAGTTTCCTATCATAGCTACTCCTGAGGCAAATACTAACTTTTAGATTTGAAAGAGATTTTAGCACTCTCCTAATAGAAATTTTTCTTTCTAGGTTACTGAATAAGTGTCTTTATTTTAAGATAATTAAAAATTTTAATGAATAAATTTGTCTATAAATCAAAAAAGTATATATCATCCAAATAGATTTTCATTCATTTGCTATTTTTCCCAGTTATTGAACAAAATTTCAAACCGACAGAAAATAATGGAAAAAGCATTGATACCCCTCATATGCTTTTACCTAGATTCATCCACTGATAATGGCTAGGAATTTTGGCTTTCTGTTTCCCTATCTATAAACCCCTGTATTAATACACATTAATATAGCTTCCTGTTAAGATAGCTGAGAATAACCTGCAGACATTATATTACCAATTAGATCATTGTCTTCTAAGAACAAGACATTCTCCTATATGTCTACAATGCGACTGCTGTGCCTGAAAATTTAATATGCTCCAATGTTATTTTTTATTTTATTTTTTATGTTCAAATGACCCCAGATGACTCAAAAATATCCTACGTAGGTGTTTTTCCAAAATGCATGATTCAGACAAGAACCATGACTTGCATTAAATAAGCTATGTTTCCTGTGAGTAAAACAGAGAACTAACTAAGTATAGTGCTATTGTACAGAAGCAATCCAAAGGAAGGGTGTTGGTGCAATGATCACTGTGTAGTTAACCAACAGGACCTCTGCTATACTAAGTAGAACAATATTATTTTTTTAAGTTAAGGTATTACATACATGCAAAAAAAGTACATAAAGTATATCACCATTATTGACGTTTGTGAACAATATGAACAACACACAGATGAAGATGCAGGTATTTCCAGTATCATGTAATATTTCAATTTCCTCTTTCTTTTCTATTCTTCCATCACAGATAACCATTATTATCATTTCTTTTCAATTTATTTCTTTAAAATAATGAGTTGTTTCATTTAGTTGTAAGCAGAATTGCAGAGAGAGAGACAGAGAGAGAGAGAGAGAGAGAGAAGGAGACAGAGGGAAAAATCTTCTATTTACTCTCTAAATGGTCACAACAGCTGGGATTGTGTCAGACCAAAACCATAAGCCAGATATTTCTTCTGGGTCTCCCACATGGTTGGAGGAGCCAGAGATTTTGAGCCATTATTTGTTGATTTTTCAGGCACATCAGGAGGGAGCTGGATAGGAAGTGGAGCAATCCAGACTCGAGCTGGTGCCCTCATGGAATGCGAGCATTGCAGGCAACTGCTTAACCTGCCATGTCACAGCACCAGCCCCAATAATTCATTTTCTTATCAGTTATGTCTCTTTTTGGATTTCATGTAAGTGAAATCACTCTTTAAATACATTTTGTCTCTTTTTTCACACCATAATATCTGAGATTTATCTCACAAATTGAATAGATACCAGTACAGACTTATATCAGTAGTTCATTTAAAAAAATCATTAAATTGTATTACATTGTAACAATTTTCATTTTTTACTTGAAGAGCAGAGCAAAAGAGCAAAAGAGAGAGACATCTTTCATTCACTGATTTTATTCCCCAAATGCCCACATCAGCAAGCGCTGGGCCAGGCTGAAGCCAGGAGCCCAGCACTCCTACCAGTGACTTCCACCTAGGTGACAGGGGTCTAAGTACATAAGCCATCATCTGTCATCTCCCAGCATGTGCATTAGCAGGAAGTAGCTGGATCAGAAGCAGAGTAGCTGGGACTCAAACCAGGCATTCTGGTGAGATACTAGCATCCCAAGCAAAATCTTAACTGCTGTGCCAAACTCTTGCTCCCCATTATCTGAATTTAATACATAAAGAATGAATTTATATATTACACTGTATAATTTACTTGTCCATTCGCCTGTTTATGTTACTTTTGTTTTTGGTAGTTCTGGATAAAGGTGCCATGAACATTGTTTGCTGTAACTCTAGCAGCAGTATATGCTCCTTTCCCTTATATCTGTGCCCAGGGATGAAATTACTGGTGCAAATTTGTGGTTAGCTGTAGCATAACATAAACTGCAAAACACTATTCCAAATAGGATGTAACTCGGTGCACTTCTGCCAGCCAGGAATGTTCCAGAGAAGTTTGAACCTGTGCTTCCCTAACACATAATGATGTTGAAGACTTTTCCATAAACTTTCTGAATATTTTCTGTAGTGAAGTGCATGTTCACATTCTTTGTTCTGTACAAGTTACATTCCTATTTTTCCATTGACTTACAGGAGATCTTCTGGATATGAGTCTTAGTTGTAAAACAGAAGCACATTTGAGATGGCAATTATTTCATGTGTTGGCCTAGTGTCTATTTTTGCCCAGTTTTTAAAAAAAGGAAATAACCAGTGTTGGTCTAGAGTAGTCAGTCTGCCTGTGCAGAAAAGAGATAGTGTGTCTTTAATTTTAAAAACTTTCTGTAGCTAACAGGAAATGTTTGGACAAGAAAATGATAAATCCCACAACTATTTATCTTTTTTTTTTGCATGAATAGTCTTCCTTTTGGGCAACTGGACCTTTATTTAGATGCCCTTTGTGTTTGAGATAAGCAACAGGATCTGCTGGGAACTGGATAATAATTCTATTTTTTGGTAGTAATGATAGGGTGACATGATGGGTCAGAGAAGAGAGGCAAAGACCTTCTACTTTTTCAAAGCAGAATGCTCAAAGTTTTTTCAAAGGACAGACTTCCTTAGTCTGGTCAAAATGGTTGATTTATTGCTAGGGGATTTGGCACTAACTCAGATTAAAAACTTTTAAAGTATTTAATTGTTTGAGGATTAGAGAGACAGAGAAACACATAGAGAGCTTTCATCCACAGGATCACTCCCCAAATGCATACATACGCTGCACTGGCCTGCACATAGAAATATTAATCATCTGCCTCACCCTGGCCAAAGCTATTAGATCAGTAAACGTTTACAGAATAGTACTGTTACACATTGTTATTTATATTATGTAAATAATTTTAAAATATCTTCATTGTTTAGTCTTAACTACTCAATAATACATGTTATGATTTTAATTACAACACTTTGTTCCAGAAATTGAGCACTTGGCATTCTCATGGTGTGCTAGGTTCCAGTCCTTCCAAAATAGTTGACATAGTTGAGGGATCATACTTAAACACTTCATGTATAAGATGTGTATACAACTCTTATAATTCATACATACATGCATATGTTGTATTAGATAATGTATGCACGCAACACACATATATAAATATATCTATGTTTTTTACAGATCTAAGCCTAATTAATGTTTGTTTTGGGTATGACAACAGAATTATTGTTCCCTCCTAGGAAAGCAAAGCACTGCATTTCAGAAATGCCACGATGAAGGAGGCATGAAGTACAAGAGGCAGAATATATCTCACGGGAGATCCTTGAATGGAATTCCACCAGGGAAAAAGCAAGAGATTAAAGACTTTTAAAAAACTAACTTGAGAAAGAGAGAATCTCATTTACTGGCTCACTCCTTAAATGCCTGCAAGCCCCCATGAAGCCAAAGGCCAGAAATTAGGAACCCATTCTAGGTTTCCACATGGGTGGCAGGAATCCAATTACTTGATCCATCATCTGCTGCTTCCCAGGGAGCACATTAGCAGGAAGCTGGAATTGGAAGTGAAACTCAGACTCATGCCAAGGTCCTCTGACGAGGAGCACGGTTGTCCCAAATGGTAGCTTAACAGCAGTGCCACAGTGGCCACCGATCATAGTTACAGATCATAGTTTTAAAAATCCTAGGAAAAAAGCTTCCTATGCTCAGAATATAGACTATTTGACTCTTTGTTACTGACAGACATCTGCAAGAATTGAAGCTTTCTAAAACAAAAATATCAAACCTTCCAACCAAAACCACCTCTTTCTATCTTCAAGATAGGCAGTTAAATTTTTTAAAATGAAAAAAAAAAGATCAAAAAATAAACTGTAAGGTCATGGGTAAAACGTTGTACAGAGTGTGTTTCAGTTCTTACAAGCAGCAGAAGGTGAGAAAAACGAAGTGGTTCCTTTGTGGTTGTTGTTGGTGTGAACCAACTATGAAAAGGGAGGTGCAGGAAAGGGCCTGGGTGGGGATGAAGTAAATGATAAGGACTGGTCACTCTTTTCAGTGAAGTATGATGGCTGCTAGCAGTTGGCAGTTTAGGAAATGATCATTGTATTATTTTAATGAACATCTGTGTGCTTAGTATCATGAGCCAGTGAAAGTACCTGATCATGCCATTGCCATGGAGAAGCAAAGATAACCACACTGAAGACAATTAAAGAACAGTGAAGGCCGTACATAACAAGTTCCAGGATGCCTGGGACAATCTGTGAGAAAAGCCAGGGCTGATCCTGGGCTCAGGAGAGTCAGTGCTGGGAAGCTAACATCAATGAGGTGGCCAAGCTGAGGCTTGGAGGACACAGAAAGCTTAGTCAAGGAGGGGAAAAGGAACATTCCAGAGACTCAGAGAGTTCACTCACTGTGCACAGGGTTGGGGTAGAAATGAGAATGACATCATGAGAAATCACTGATTTGAGAGGAAGCATCACAGAAGGTGTCACCGAACATGAGTGAAGTCTACACTAAGGAAACATAGAATCTTATCTGTTAGGAAGAATCAGGTCACAAAGAGCCCTGCTCTCTCTAGCGCTATTTTTGTGATTACAGGGAAGTGTGTTCAATACCTGGAAACCTCTGTGGGTTGTATTATTAGAAGATGGGATTGAATTCTACAAAGGGAAAGGCGAGGCCGTCCCCAATGGAATGATTCCCCTGAAAGGAAGCACGGTGATCAGTCCTTGCAACGAATTCAGCAAAAGGATGGTAAGTTGATGTCAAGAACGACTGTGGAGCCCCCTTGCCAGAGGTTGACCTCTTAGTCCATGCCCAGCCTGCCATATGAGTGCTGCTCCCTGGGCCAGTCTTGCTCTCCACGACCAGCTCCTCACCAGGGAGTCAGGGTCTCTCCTGGGCAGAACAGGTTTGGATCTAACTCATGAGGGGGTCTCAACCTCTTGAAAGGAACCAATCCTAATGGGATATTTTCTATTTTTTAGTTTGTGTTCAAGATCGTTACTGCCAAGCAACCCATCTACTTCCAGGCAGCCTTCCTGGAGGAGAGAGATACTTGGGTTCGGGACATCAAGAAAGCCATAAGATGTGTTGAAGGTGGCCAGAAGTTTTCGAGGAAATCCACCAGGAGGTCCATTCGGCTACCAGAAACCATTGACTTGGGGTGATTTTCTGTGTTTGCTTTTCTCTATCGTTTGTTTTCTTGCCTCCCCGCACCCCCATCTTCTTACAGGGAGGGATATAGAAAGGTGCTGCTTGAAGGCTTGCTTGGGCTGCCTCCCAAGTCTGTGTTCACTCTGCTGGGCTGACACTGACACTTGGCACATGAAGATATTAGCTTGAGTCCCAAGGAATAATCATGGCCTCTTTATTGCCTAGCTTGGGGCTCTAGTTTCCCAAGCAAGCAAAATTTCAAGTTCAAGTTCATAAGTTCATAAACTCAGGAAAAGACATTCAAGGAAAACACTCATTCTGGGTAGAAATAATTTGTGCCCTGATTTACTGGACTCTTGTAGCATAAAGAAGGGTCAGAGACCAACAGATGAACCTAGCCCCTGACGGGGTTGGGAAGGGGATTCCTTCCTTTCTGTGTGTTTCCCATCTTCTCTGGACATATGCACTCCTCCCTTTGTTATAATCTGGTCCTTCTTGGTGGGGTTTTGTTTTGTTTTGAATATTGAGCTCACTCTAAACCGGAAGTCCTGTTGGGAAGAATCCCTACTAACTGACTAAAATATCTAGCAAGAATTCCACTTCCATGGGACTTTGGGGTGGGGAAGAGCTCTTTAAGAGGGTCCTGAAGACTTCCCTCTGCATGACTAGCAAACTCGCTGTGTCACAGCAGTTTGATGAAGCATGTGCAGGGAGCACAGTGAGGTTGGGCAAGCTTCCCTCACCAGCAAAGACTCCACCTGCAGCCGCTACCGTGAGTCATCGTGACTGGATTCCTGGCCAGGGTGGACAAAGTCACGGGGGAATGATGCTTGAACTATGTGGACTCAAAGAGAGCACAAACATGGCCTTCTGTTTCATTGCTTAGGATGTATCTGACAAGACTATCTGACCTTTATTACCTCAAGGACAGATATAAAAACACAAGGAAGGGCCATCGTCTGCTTTTCTAGGTGCATTAGTAGGAGCTAGATGGGAAATGGAGCATCCAGGACTCAAACTGGTACTCATTTGGCATGTTGGCACTGTGTGGTGGTGGCTTAATTTGCTGTGCTACAATACTGGATCCATTTTTAAAAACTGATTCTGAGAACAGTTAATCTTTGGCACCTATTTTGAAAAACTGTCCCTTTCAGATGCCAGGAATTAAGTCAACAGAGGTTAATGAGTTTAAGAGATTTTAAGGACCAACCTAGTGTATGCTGCAGGCTTGAGAGTTAATATGAGACTGCCCTTTGAGTACACATGGTCTAGTGGAAAAGTGAGGCTCAGGACAACTGGAGTGCTGGCAACATTTGCACAGGAGCAGCTTGTCCAACATGGCCACCTGCAGACAGCACTAACCTTTCTCTACACTCCCCACTCATCCATCTGTTTCCATCTCTGTGCAGTGCCCTGTATTTGTCCATGAAAGATGCTGAGAAAGGAGTGAAAGAACTGAATCTGGAGAAGGACAAGAAGATTTTTAATCACTGCTTCACAGGTAAATGCACTTGCAAGCCTGAAGTGGGACACCAGGGGAGAGCAATAAGGAGTTCCCTTTGTTCTCACAGAAGAGGTGCTGTGTGTGGAGCATGAAGCCAGAGTAGAAAAAGCCAGAGATTGCACGCTGGTGACACTAAGAATGGAGCTTCCTCAGCGTGGAAACAGGAAGTAGAAAGGAACTTTATTGTTCAAGACATTTTATAAGTTCTAATGTATCAACCAAAGGACCTTTCCTCTCAAAGACAGAGCCGTATTGAGAAATAACAGAAATAGAAAACAAACTGGTAAAATGAAACCTTTACTATGATAAACAGGGACCAAAACATATATTGCGAGACTTAAATGACAATATCAGGGGTGTCAGAGCCTGTACAGGGTGAGGTATTTAGTGTTATGAGTTTAGACAGAGTATGAAGTGATTAAAAGCATACTCTTTGGAGCCATACCACCTGGCCTCAAATCCTGGCTCTGCAACTGTCTATCCATGAAGCCTTGCACCAATAACTTAGCCATACTGTGCTGCAATTTCCCTGTCTATAAAGGGAATGATCATGGGCTCTCTCTTCACAGCTTGCTACTATATGTATGAAATTGTGCTTGGCATCTACTAAGTGCTATATGGTATGATTTCTCAACTTGGTTCTTATGATTAAAAATCCCCTAAGTCTGCAGAACAAATTCTGTGAGTTCAGAAAAGAGAAAAAAACTCACAGGGTTATTGGGGTGGTAAGAGGTGATGCTGAAATTTGACCCCAAATTCATTTAGTTACTTGTGATTGCTAATGAATAGGCTGGGCAGAATACAGGACAGAGTTTTGGCACAACAGTGTACAGATATGTGCCCATGAAAAGAAACAATCAGACTGACAGTGCTGATGGATCATTAGACAGCACAAAAGGCAACCTACAGTTTGGCAATAGGTTGGTCGGGCGACAGTGACAGCTTCCTTATTGTGACAAGAGAAGTCAAAGGAAGAAAGTTCTGAGAAAGTACAATAGATGTAGAATCTGAGAGGATGTCCCATCAAGTCAGATTTGGGAAGGGAAAGAAAAAAACATGTGGCTTGTGATGGCCTTAGAGAGTCAAGCCAACAGTCCATTAGCATCAGAAAAATAAGGGCCAATATTTGGAACCAAGACACCAAGAAGCCATGGAAATGGTAAGGGAAACTAACAAAAGCTAGACAGCCCTAAGTGACAGAACTAAGGTTACTAGCACAGAGTCCCAGGCAAAGGGCTAAGAAAGGGGTTTCAGTGTAGTCTGGACTCATTTCCTGTGTAATGTATTACTGAGTTCTAGAGTTTTGGGCTGTCACATCTTAGGGGCTTCCCACTAAAGGTCAGAATAGGATGTCGAAATCTCCGTGAGTGGAGCTTACGTCTGGGAATGAGGTGGCCTGGGGAATGAAGGCTGCAGCAGACATGGGACCCAGGCAGGCGCAGGTTGTGATGGATGATCTTGAATGTCAGGTGAGTGGGAGACCTGAGTGAATTGTGCTCTTCAGGTTCAACATGCCCAGCTAAACAAGAGTGGACTCAAGAGTTAAAAGACTTAAAAAGTGAAGGCCCAACATAAGCATAGCTTTAGGCCTGAGATCACTTAAATTCTCTGAGCCTTTAGTACAGCATTACTCTGAGAAGTAGAAGTAGAAATGTACTATCACTTACCTTATCCTTGTAGAGAAAGAAGAATGGGCAAGAGTTTTCCATACATGAAATTTATGGAGAGCTCACAAACCAAATACTTTCCTTGTCTTGTGGATCTTACAGACAGCACAGCCACTGATGGTGCATGGAGTGCCCTGGGTGTGCTGCTGTGTTATCTCTCTGGCTACTTTCATCATGGACACACTTTTGTGAACACAAAACTTTGTTTTGGTCTGCTCATAACCCAGCTGATGGATCAATTTGATTTTTAATTCCTTTATATCATCTCTTGAGGCATAAAGTTGATGAAATGCTCCCCAAGGTTTCCCTGTTGACTTCAGTGACCAGTAAAAGTGATAGCATCAACTTTGCATTTAGAACACACACATTTCATTGTGTCATTTCCTATTTAAAAACTTGCAATGACTGTCCCCCGCCAAGTTTCTCATTTTGCCATCAAAGCTTTTCCAACCCTTGTACCCCCCTTTTCTGGTCTTCTTTCAACTCTTTTCTCTGTTCCTGAGAGCTGGTGGCTGCCTGTATGCATTTGTTCACGCTGTGCCCCTCATCCTATGTGCCAATTCCTCTTAGCTCTTGCCTCATATGCTTGGCAAACAGCTACTCAGTTTTTTTAGGTGTAGGCCCAGTGTCACTTCCTCTATGAGTGTTTTCTTGACAGTGCATCTCAACTCCCTCCCCATCTTCGTCCTCCCAGCCCCACCTCCACATTGGACCCAGCAGTTCAGTGTGCTGATGTAATGATGGGTACTTATTAAAATACTCCTCATCTATTCTGCTCTTTAGAACTGACACAAAACTCACCTTGACAATTGCTCAATAAGTGTTTGCTAATGGAATAAATAAATAAATACATACATAAATACATAAATAAATAAGCTAGCTCAAAACCAGTTTCTTTGACCTTTTCTTAAGGAGTGGGTAAATGTTTTTGAGAAATCTTTACAAGGTTTCTTTGCTTTCTCCTTGGAATAGCAGGGCAGATGTGACAAGGCAGACACACATGTGCCCTGCAGCCAGTTCTGGGGTGAGGGTCAGTGGATTGATTGTTCCTTGGGAAGGAGAGTTCACTTTCCCTCTGATGGTCCCCATCCAGGTAGCTGTGTCATCGACTGGCTGGTATCCAACCAGTCCGTTCGGAACCGCCAGGAAGGCCTCATGGTTGCCTCATCACTGCTCAGCGAAGGCTATCTGCAGCCTGCGGGAGACCTGTCCAAGGCTGCAGTGGATGGAACTGCTGAAAACCCCTTTCTGGATAATCCTGATGCCTTCTACTACTTTGTAAGTGAGAAAGGCTACCCATCTATTTATTCTTTATAGTGGAGGCAGCCCTGGGCAGATTCTAGGTTGACTGTAGTTTATAGTCATGTATATGAAAAAAAAAAAAAGCCTAACCTTAAAGGGAACTATTAGATGAGAAATGACTGGGTTGTCAGGGGAGGAAGAGGTCAGGCAGAGGTAAAGAAAATACTCAAAGCCTTGAAACTGGAGGACTCATTCTGAACCTCTACTGCCCCAGCCATCACTAAGCGATTCAGTTTATAAAGGAAATGGGTGTTCCCTTGAACAGTGCTGTGTAAATGGATTTTTAAAATATCATACTTTTCTTATTCTGAGCAATGAAAATGAATTATTTTTACACATGGTAAGCACTCTCCTAGAAAAAGGAGCTGGATTAGTAGGGATAAAGTGCTGAAAATCTGATCTCCCTGAAGCTTACGTGTGGCATGCTAGTAGTATTTTTCCAAATACATATTAAAATATCTAACTCTTAATGCAAATTTAAAATATGCTTATATAATCACTTCTAATAATCCTCTTGTGTTCTTGCCATTTGCTGACTGCAGATTGAGAAACACTGTATCACATAAAATAGATCTAATCTTGGGCCATGGGAGAATGATAGCAGCAGTGGATTTCTACGGGGATTTTGGTCATTTTGTTTCTATTTTGGATCAGAGTATAGAAGTGAACAATCTACTTCAGAGAAGCATCCTTATTAGAAAAGTGAAGTGAATCTTCTAGGCAATTTCATTTCAAGGGGGGAAGTTACACTGTCAATAGTATTATTTGGGGAGGAGAGAGGGAAAGGGGACTTTGAGCTGGATATTTCTAGCCTTTCATACATTTATGATTCTAAAAACACCAATCACGGTGGCCCTTCTTTCTGTGTATGATTCATCACTCATTTATATACAAGCAAGGGACAATAGATGAGGCTGGACAACTGCACTTGGTCTTCCCAAACTGCAGGAACAAGGCTGGGTACCAAAAGATTCAATGGTGATAACATTGTAAGATGTATATGAAACAAATTCTGTATTAGCGGTATGCTTTCCTAAGAGAAAGAAGGCTCTCAGGGTAGAAATGAGCACAGTGAGGAAGAGTGAGCCAAACTTTGAATATTGTTTTAGGAACCCTCGACAATGAAAGGGCATTGGGAAGATAGATTGTACCTGAAAGGAACAACAGCTAGGGGGAGAGGCTGGAGGAGGGACAGTGAGCTAGCCGAGAATAACCTTTAAAGGTCAGAATGGGCATATACAATAGCCAGAAGGAAAAGTAGGGGCTGCTGTGGTGGCTGCAGGGGAGGGAGAAGTGGGAATGGTATATATGTTGGAGACTGGGAAAGTCATCTTGCTGCCTGGTTTCCCAACAGCCAGACAGTGGGTTCTTCTGTGAAGAAAATTCCAGTGATGATGATGCGATTCTGAAAGAAGAATTCAGAGGGGTCATTATCAAGCAGGGATGTTTACTGAAGCAGGTGAGTAGCCATCTCTATTGCCTTCCAGACTATCTTACCAAACCCTTTTTTCCCCCCTAAATGACCAAATGGCATTTGGTTTATCTGGCCAATAATCATTCAGAAAATGAAACTCAGAGTGAAAGATAGAAAACAGCTAGGTGTGATCAAAGTGTCAAGTCTAAGCCATGCAAGGCAGAAAATACCCTTAGATATAGGAAACACTTCTTTTCTCAATACCATAAGATTAAATGTTTCAAGAAAAATATTGCCCATTTCATTGGCTGAAGAAAATAAATTGTCTAAAAGATGCCATCCAAAAGACAGATGTTTCATGGTAAAAGAACTCACATTGTGCCTATGTCTCCTTTTAAGGTAACAAGGAAATCTGAACAGATTACAAGTAGAATGGGGATACCTCGTGTCACTGAAAGCAAGAGCTTGGCATTTCCAGACTGTGAATAGGGAACTGTGGGACCCAAAGCAGGGAATGCCTAAGGCCAATTCCACAAGAACAGCAGACAAAGGTCAAAACCAGTCTGATGGCAGGGGCACAGTCTTAGGGGAAACTCATGTGTAATTATAAGGTGTCCACAAGTACACCCACCATCTTTCTGGGGGACAGAGGCTGCCATGAGCTAACAAGCTGTAGCCAGATACCAGCTGCTAATGCCCTAGAACCTAAGAAGTAAGATAAGCACAAGGGTAGGGAGTGAGTTAGGAGGCCAGGACCAACATTCACCCAAGGAAGTAGCAGGAGGATGTGGCAATATTCAGAGTGAAACAGAGACTAACATGCTCTATCATAGGAGCCAATGCTGCTTTAGAGGGTCAAGGCCTTGCCTTCCTGGCTATGCTGTGAGCTGAGAAGCACTGCTTAGTACACAAGAAAAGGTCCTATCCATTCTGAGGAGCATTTCTTGCAGTCTATACACCCCATGCGATTGAGACATTTGACTCCCTCAACCTGTCTCAGTGATGAATGGATGGGTAAGAAGAGAATCCAAAGTATGCAGTTATACTTCAAAGGGTGGATGCTGGTCACTCTGAGTCCTGGATCATCAGAAACACATAGCAAGGGTTTAAAAAGAACCCATGAACTATTCTAATATCTTTTTTTTTTTTTAATGACAAGATAACTAGCCAAGTAGATTGCAGGGAAGGCTCCAGGCAGCTACCCTGCGGACAGAGTTTGACCATGGGTGGTTTCCCCGTTAGTCCTGCCAAACATTTTATGTTCCCAGCTCTTTGACTATGAGTAGTAGAAGGTGACTTTTGAATGATTTGAGAGAGAATTTCATGTTTTCTTATTTTATTTATTCCTTCTATAATGCTATGTTATCAGCCATTTCTTGAATTAGTTTCTTAGATAAGCCCTAATCGAGAACCACTCTTAAAAGGCAGAGTTAAGTGTTAGTTAAGTGGTATATAAAGTCTGAGCTGGACTGAAGTCATCATATCCAAACAGCGCACCTCAGGAAGAGACTGTGGATGGTCAAAAATCAGCTGAGGGAACGGCTTCTTGTGGGTGAGATAATGGTGACGAGGAAACTAAGGCATTTTTCCTTTGCCTTACTTTACTTGGCCTTTAGTAGGTACAATTTAGACTTAACTAGTCCACTTGGTATACTTTTGAATCCCACAGGGAGCTGTTATAATTGCACCTCAGGCCAATTAAATCAGAGTCTCTTGATTTTTGCAATCCCCAAGCAGATCTGCTATGCAGCCAAGCCTTTTTCTTTATAGCTAATTTGTCCCAATAGCAAAATACAGCTGTTGACACAGTCATCCTTACCACCTTCCTTTCCATATAGGGAAACAAAAATCTATGTGCATTTCCTGTGAAATAATTCTTCTCTGGCTGACAAAGAGGAAGAAATGAAAAATGTATTTTCTTTGAGTTGATATTCTCCTATAATGTTTTTTAACCTTTGAGCTCAGTAGTTAGTAACTCTGGTTTGTGTCAGAATCACCTGAGGGCATTAAATAACTATTTTCCTTTAAGTCCCAGAAAAAAGAACCACTGTAGTGTTCTCTACTAGGATTTGACCAGAGCTAATCTACATAAGCTTATCATGAAAAAGGACATGGTGTCCTACACCTCATTGCAATTTGTTGTGTTCGCCTAGAGGATGGTTCTCTTCCTCCTCCATTCTTCTCATTTCTCTATCCCTGGGGAAATAACCATACTTGGAAAATGGAGCAAGTTAGAAGATGAAGGATCTTGGATTATATACTTCCTTCTGTTCTAACAAGAATGAAATAGCTAGTTGTTTAGTTATCAGCCACGTGACGATGGAGAGCCTCAGTGTGTTACATATGCTTTTCTCTCTTCTACAGCAGAGAAAAGTATCCTTCTTGGTCTATTACAGGCAGCAAACACTCGTGGAATGAATTAAATTGAATGTTAAGTAGATGATTTTGACAGTTCAGTAACAATTCTTGGAAAACCCAGGAATACATGCTTTCCTTCACATTTTCAGAAAACACATATAAAGTGACAGATGATCAGATACTTACTAGCAATACACCACTTTGTAATGTCAGTGAGGGCTTCAAGAGAATATAGTGGCTGGCTAGGCTTAGCTGATTTCACATCCTCCTGTTGCCTTCCTCTTCCACTGATTCAGGATAACTTGGCGATCACTCAGCATTTGCATGAGCTGGCAGGACACTGTCTACAGATGAGGAGGAAGTAGTGTGGGGTGGCAGTTTTGGCATCCTCAGCTTTTGGGTAGTATTAAATAGAGCAAAGAGTAGGAATTCATACTTTCAGAAGCTGAGGCATCACACCACTGAGGATATAATGCAGCAATGAGAAATAGTCTCTGTGTTTACAGGGCTCTTGGGTCTATCCTTCAGCCAAGTTAAATGTTCCTTGGAAAAGAGATCCTTGACTATATGCATGGCCAAAACACCTTGGCCTATTCTCAAAAGCTACCTTTATATTCCTTTGACATAGTTTTTTGAAGAAGACACTGTTTGCTAAAACCACATTTCGTTTGTTCCAATGCAAACACAATGAAAAATATTAGAAAATTCACACATTGGTGCTTTCAATATGTGGTGTTTTAGAAATCATAAAAATTATTTGCATTGGGCCCGGCGCGGTGGCGCAAGTGGTTAAAGGTCCTCGCCTTGCACGCCCGGGATCCCATATGGGCGCCGGTTCTAATCCCGGCAGCCCCGCTTCCCTTCCATCTCCCTGCCTGTGGCCTGGGAAAGCAGTCGAGGACAGCCCAAAGCTTTGGGAACCTGCACCCGCGTGGGAGACCCAGAAGAGGCTCCTGGCTTCGGATCGGCATAGTATCGGCCCGTTGCGCTCACTTGGGGAGTGAATCATCGGACGGAAGATCTTCCTCTCTGTCTCTTCTCTCTGTATATCCGCCTTTCCAATAAAAAAATAATAAAAATAAATCTTTAAAAAAAAAAAAATTATTTGCATTCACAGAGGAGCTATGTATCTTCTCCTCATCCAATCTTGTTCTCCCTCCAGTGCTTCTGGGATAATTTAAATGATTTGAATTTTCTGTAGGAAACCACAGAATCAGGATTTCAGTGGCTTTTAACAATCTACTGCCTTGGGACTGATGCTGTGGCTTTGTAGCTTTACCATTTGCAGTGTTGTCATTCCTATGTGTGTGCCAGTTCAAGTCCCAGTTTCCAATACAGCTCCCTGTTGGCAGTATGGAGAAGGCAATGGAAGATAGCCCAAATGCTTGGGCCCCTGTACCCATGTGGGAGGACTGGAAGAAGCTCCTGGCTACTGGATTTGGCCTGGTCCAAACCACTGGTTCATTTCCCCAGTGTCATGGCCATCTGGGGAAATGAACCAGTGGTTTGAAGATTCTCTCTCTCTGCCTCTACTTCTCTTCAATCTCTGTAACTCTGCTTTTCAAATAAGCAAAATTATTTTTAAAAGTTGTAGTCTTCTCTCTCAGTTATGTCAGCAGAAAGCTATATTGGAAGCAGAGCAGCCAGGACTCCAAGCAGGATTCTGATATGGCTGCCAGTATCCTAAACAGTGGATTAACCTGCTGTGTCACAGTGTTAGCCCCTTGTCATGACATTTTAAAACTTATTCTAGGTTAGCTGAAATAAATGAGTGGCTCAGGGAGTTGCAAAGAGGTGCAAAGCAGCTTTCATGTACTGCTGGCAGTGTTGGGACAGGGGAGCAAAGATAAGCAGAATGTAAATCTTATCCTTAAAATCCAGTCTAGATGATGTCAGTGTTTAATCGTGTTGGGAAATGCCAAGTCCTAGTCCTGTTTTTTTTTTTCATCCTATCTGTTACAACTACATTCCATTCCCTTCTGCTGCTGCTACCTGAGGTTGGTCCCTAATTATTTTATTTCAGAATTACTGGAGTCATTTCCTAATGACACTTTTTAACTTTATTATCTTTATCCTAGTTTTCCTTTAATCCAGCCCCCAGTTGGTCCACACTGTGCATTGCCATTCTATTCATTTCCCGAAGCTGTGAGTGTCATCTTTTCACTTTATTACTCAAAAGCCATTGGCATCATCCCCAAGTCTTATTGTTACTATGCCCACTTTTACAAGTTTGCAATCTTGCTTTTGCTACTCCTTGTGAACCCTGCATTCTAGCCAAACTGTCTCATTCATCATTCATTCACATCTGCATATGCCGTGTGTGTTCTCACCTCTGCTTTTGTGTGTTGGGTTTCCCATCTACCTCTTTCCCACTCTCCTGAATCCTGAGTTTCCCCATATGAATGAGCTGAGATCTTTATGGAGATTTTGCTGACATCCTAAACCCACAGTTGTGTACCTTCATTTAATTCCTTTGGAACCCATTTTCTGTATCAATTACTTGATTTAGGCATTTGTTATTTTATATTTCACAAAGTCATGACCTCCTTGAAGAGCAGTGCCACATCTTAACCACTCTGATATCCCCCAAATGACATCAATCTAAGGAATAATTTAATCCATTTGCTTAAAACAACCACATTTTTAAGTAACCTTTGTGCTGGTTTGCTGACAGAGCCCTGGCTTGGAACTTGGTTCTCTGCATTTCAGGTTTTATCTTTTCTTTTCGTTTTTGCCACTAGGCAAGGACTTAGGTGGGTTCTGCATGTAGAATGATGCTCAGAACTCATTACTCCTTGTGTTGATCCTGAATACAGGGACATAGGAGGAAAAACTGGAAAGTGAGGAAGTTCGTTCTGAGAGAAAACCCTGCCTACCTGCACTACTACGATCCTGCTGGGGTAAGATTCTATGGTTTCCAAATCCGTTCAACTAGAAGCTTCTACTATGTTTACAATCTCACGACACGTCCCTTTCCTACTCACCCCCTCCTACTTCCAACATCCTCTGCCTTGTCTATTATCTCTCAATACAAAGATCTTATTTCTTAGGCTTCTGAGGACAGGATGAGCTCAGAGATAGAAGAAAAAAATCATTATATTATTATTTGATTGGCTTAGCATAACTTTTTTGTTTGTCCTAATTTGATCTTTCAAGGAAATTCAAGCAGTCCAACACTCTACCCCTGGCATGATATGTAGAACAACTCAATTTTTCCTCTAGGCCAAGCTCAGGGAGAGCATTTTTAAAGTATGGTAATATGGACTACCAATTGTTAAAAGGATATTTTCCCTGATGAAATGGACCATCTCCAAAGCATAAAGTCAATTCTGATTGGTTTGGATCTCCAGTCTTTGCTTGAAGGCAGGGTCCTTTGATTCTGTTCTGTGAGGATTATACAAGCTTTCACACATCTGGTGCATGTAGCCAAAGAGCTCCGAACCCCTGCAGCTCCTCTTCAGTGGGACATTGTGGCCTCAGCTTCTCCACCTCCCCTCCACTTTCCCTCCACATCTGAAGTGCAGATTCAGTTGAATTTTCTCATTTAGCCTCCCAAGCGTCCTCTGAAGTGGATATGGAAGGTACAAATCAGGAAAGGGTTTCCTGCTAATCTGTTTTTATTTCTCTGGGGACGCTTGATCTATACTGGAATGAGTCTGTGTGTTTCTATACCAGCATAGTATGCGTTTTGGGAACATAACTGACTACTTCTCTCTCCTGTAGGGGGAAGATCCCCTGGGAGCGGTTCGCTTGAGAGGCTGTGTGGTGACTTCAGTGGAGAGCAACCCAGATGGTAAGAATGGATTGCTGTGGGAGGGAGGTGCATCTGTTCTGTCTCTCTTCCTACTCCTGGGCATCCTGAGCCAATGTTAATCAGTCAGTCAGTCGGGCATATGCATGAATGATTTTAAGGTCTGAAAAGCTTAAAGGAGACCAGAAGCTATTTTCTCCCAGAGGCTGCTCCACTCTAGGCTTTGATAGAGAATGAAAAGTGCCTTTGTGATGTCTTGACTATGTCCTCCAACAATGTTCAGTAAAATCTGCAACCTCAGAACTGGCTCAGATGGACATTGTGTAATTCAGTCCTTCGGTAGGACTCCGCAGTAGGAGATCTTTTACTTATCCAGACCAGGGAATTGCCCACAGCATGCAGAGAGGCAGTGGTGAGTGGATGGTGCATCTGGTTGTAACTTGGTTTCTGCTGGTCAGTCACATGTCCCTGAGTGAATCACCAACTGCGCTGAAGCTTAGTTCCTGCTCCACACATAGGGGCTTGCCCCAGTTGACATATCTGTGATATGGCACATGCAATAACTGTGGGTGTTGGCTGACTTCTGGGAGCTAGAGAAAACCGGTGTCACTGATGAGATGCCGCTTTGACAGCCCTAACCGGGCTTCATTTTGCTGTCTTGGGATTATATGTTATAAAGGCTGACAGAAAAACATCACAGCTACAAAAGCATGGAGTTTTGCTACCCCTGGATGTGTCCACTCCACTACCCTGCCTTCGTCTAGAATTCTACTTTAGTTTTACAGTATGGAGTATATTGCTTTTTAAATTTGAAATGGATTTTCTAAGACTTGTCACAGTATTGACTAGTTTATTGCATTTTGCTCTTTCAACAAAAATGCTATTTCAGGGTATACATGTGGCACTGGTGAATATTATTGTGCAATATTATATTATGTTATATTCAAATATCCTTTATTATATTATTTTCACTCCATTGGTTTATATTATAGACAAAGTTTAATTTAATGAGTTTCTCATTAAATACTATAGTAGGAAACCATGCGAAACCTAGTTTGCATATAAGCTATGAGAAAAACTGTTTCTCCTCAATGTTACATTTATATTTTAAAAATACATAGACACATGCATAATCATACTACATGTACCTACCTATACAAGTGATATATAGATTTACCCACAAGTCTATATATCATACAATATTCATATGTTTGAATATAACTTATTTAATTTTGAGAGCAATAAAAGCCACAGGAATCTGTAATTTACAGATGACTTTTCTTGTGCCTATATGTATAATTTGCTTACTATTTCACCAGCCAAGAAGAATGATAAAGAGAACCTGTTTGAGATCATCACAGCTGACGAAGTGCATTATTTCTTGCAAGCAGCCAGCCCCAATGAACGCATAGAGTGGATCAAAGCCATTCAGGTGGCTTCCCGCACTGGGAAGTGAGGACACAGCTGCAGCTCCCCAACCCCTCTTGCGGGAAGCCCCATCTGGGATCTGTCTGCTACTGGGACACATCAACAGGAGAGGGTCTGGGGTGGGAAATTTTCATCTGCAGGAAGTTCTGAGTGTATCTTACCATGTGCTACACTATGTTTACTGCCCCTCACTGCTCACTACATCCTCTCACCACCATTCTGCATCCCCCAAGCAGCTGTGCGGCATAGCTGGGCTACTTCATTGCTCCTGACCTTAGGGCACCTGGTGGGAAATGAAGGAGCTAAACGAGGAGCTCTCTAAGGTCTCCTGTAGCCTGCTTAAAATAGAGCCCTGTGATTCTAATACCTATGGACACAATGGTGTCTCTGGTCATCCTGCTGATGTTGTTACTTGGTTATGTCATGGCCTTCAGTTGCTTTCAGATGTATTAGACCCAAGACAACTCTTCCCTTTGACATTTTTGCCAACCTGAACTCTGAGTACTAGACATGAACCTCTCTTTGTCCTTTGTCACTCATTGCAAATGGTGGTAGCTTTTAGGGTGAGGCCTGGGAAGTTAGGTCTTTTGAGAAAGAGATCTAAGGAAGTTAGAAAGCAGACAATGGCCTTTTCCATCTCCCAACAGAGCAGACTGTCCTGTTGTCACTTGAGGCTAATTTTAGCAGGGGCAAGGGGAGTCTCCCTTTATGCCTCTTGGGAACATTCTGTGCCATTTATTATTATTGTTAGGAGGAAGGACCCAAATCCATGTGATTCACTTTCAGTTAAATTGTATAGGAAAAAAAGAATGGCCAGCTGAATTTCCTCCATGAGTGAGGTAGCTTGACTAGGATGTTCCTCCCAGCCAGAGGGTTGAGTTGATGGGATGATGAGCTTCTCCAAAGTCAGCACTGAAAGGGTTCCAGTCTGCAGAGAGCTCCCAGAGGTGGCTGTAAGGCTCCTATTAACTGTAACAGTTGTGGGCATATATTTTAAGCACAGTAGTAGCAGCTCCTACTTAAGCTTTAGAGTTATGTGATCTTGATTCAAATTTTGGATTTGCTGGCAACTATTTTTTTTTTAAAAAAGATTTATTATCTATTTTTATTGGAAAGTCAGATTTACGGAGAGGAGAGACAAAGAGGAAGATCTTCCATCTGCTGGTTCATTCCCAAGTGGCCACAATGGTTGGAGCTAAGCCAGGAGCCAGGAGCTTCTGGGTCTCCCACACTGTACAGGATCCCAAGGCTTTGGGTTGTCCTTGACTGCTTTTCCAGGCCACAGTCAGGGAGCTGGCTGGAAAGTGGAGCAGCTGGGACACGAACTGGCCCCAACATGGGATCCCAACATGTGAGGGGCGAGGACTTTAGCCACTAGGCTACCACAACTTTTGAATGTGATCACTCACTAGTAATTCTCCAAAACTGAGATACTGCCCATAAAACTAGGGGTGTGTTTGTATGTGTGTGTGTATATTTTCCAACTTCAGATATTTAACTCTAAGTCCCCAGTAAGGAAAGAATAGGAAGTTCTTCCCGGTTTTATCAATTCCTTTCTTGCTCTCTTAATTCCCTCACAGTCTTCACCAGGCTGTTAACACTCTTGGATTGTTTGGTCAGTGACTTAGCAGTTAAAGACCTATCTTTTTCTCTGATTCCTTAGCAGATTGTCTTCATAGAATATGCTCAATAGGTTTTCTGCATTCACCGTTAACAATATTATTAGTGTGGGACAGAATCTTATGTTTTAAAATAAATGTGATTGGGTTTAGAGCTATTGGTGTGATGACTGTTTTGTCTCCCATTGACTCCCTTTTTCTATAATTCACTTTCATTTGTTGAAGACATTACAGAACACAGTCTTTCATCTCATGTCATCTCATTGACTTTATGATTCTTTAAAAAAAAGTCAGTTATTCTGGGGAACACTAAAAACATAAAGAAAGTAAAGCTAACGTTTAAGGAATATAAGTATACAGCAGCCAGCCAGATAGTATCACTCATTCTTTTTTACTACAAGACCATGATTATGATGTTCAGGCTAGTGAAAGAATACATTAAAGATGAATAAAGCTGTTTATATTGGAGGAAAGGAAGTTTCCCACCAAGGGCTGCTATGTATAAATGAGCAGATGTGCAGTGCTCAGTTCCAGGCAGCATTACTCACGTGGTAGTTTAGGAAAATACTATGCTCTGGGGCTGGCATTTTATGGTTTATATATATTGACCTGATGAGCATGCAGAGTGGTCAAGGCTTCCTGATACAGATGATCCTGGTGGAATGAAGGTTATATTAGTAAAATGAATGTTGGAAGACAGCTATGGATGTTGTGTGTATTTTTGGCCTAGAAATTAAGCATGAGAGTCTGAGCCCCAGAATGACTAATGATATGACTAATGAACTATACAACATATCAGCTCCAAGCGAGGAGCATCAGACCCTGGAAAGAAATATGGGGCAGCCAGGACTCAGGATTCCACTTTACAGTGAGTGACAAACTATAATATACAACCAATGGTGACTAAATAAAGGAGGACCGTGACTTCTGGAATTACAAGAATAACAATAAGCCAGAATATTTAGAGTGCTCAGTTCAAGAGATCTAACACTCTCTGAGAGAAAAACAGAAGGAGGCATGCCAAGTGAGAATCATACACGTAAGTGAAGAATTCAGTACTGATTTAAGGAAGGATGTTAGGTTTCTCTTGCACACACACACACACACACACACTCGCACAGAATGACTTTAAACAGCAAAATGAGGAACTCTCTAAGTCTAAAATAACAAATAGGTTCTCTGTGCTTGTTAGTAAATGCTAAATAAAGCTAAGCAGAGCATCAACATCATTTCCTCTGGATCCTGTGTGAAGCCTGGTACAGACATTTATCATCAGCCTTGGGGAAATAGGCAAATCACAAAGGTCATTACCTAATATTTCCCATTAGTTTTACATTCTGCTCTGAATAGTCTCTCTAACCATGTAGGGTGTGAGTTGCAGAAGAAAGGATAGAGGAAAGATAATGTCATGGGAAAATAATTTCTCTACTCAATATTTACACTAAGCATTCAGCAATAGGATGTGGGGATATTCAGGGTGAAACAAATTGAGACTAGCATGCTCTGTCATAGGAGCCAGTGCTGCTTTAGATAATTTAATCTACTCATACATTTATACTACGAATTCAGCAATAGTCACATTCCATGAGGCTGACGCTGTCATCTGTTTCCTCTTTCAGGCCTTCCAGTTAAAATGCCAGTTGAGGTCATCTGTATCCCCCATCACTGTACTTGGGTTCAATATCTGGTTCCAGCTCTTGACTCTACATTTTCTTGATACTGGAAGGCAGTAGTGATGGCTCAAGTAACTGAGCTCTTTCCACTCACATGGCAGACCTAGATGTAGTTTCTGGCTCCAGCTTCAACCTGGTCCAGCCCTGGACACTGCAGGCATTTGAGGGAGTGAACCAGCAGGTAGGAGTGTTGTCTACGTATGAGCATACTTATGCACTGGTTTCCCACTGAAAAAATTTTAAATGGAGTTCCACTGATGATAAGCCCTGAGTGAATGCACAGGAAAAATAAATCCTATTTTGTCAACACTAAGAACACAAGACATTTAATAAAGATCAAGGAGGGGGAACACCTGCAAGCAGGGCAAAAAAAAATTTTTTTTTAATGAAAAAGCACAGAAAAAGATGCGCAGTTTCACCAGCCACGAGGGAAATGTGAATTAAAACAACAGTGAGATCCTACTGCACATTGAGTAGAATTAGTTACAAAGATGGACTGTTCCCAGCATTGACAATGTGTTTTTAAAACTTCATGGGGGCCTGGCATGGTAGCTCGCCTTGCACACACCAGGATCCCATATGGCCACCGGTTCTAATCCCAGTGGTCTCACTTCCCAGCCAGCTCCCTGCTTGCGTCCTGGGAAAGCGGTCAAAGATGGCCCAAAGTCTTGGGGCTCTGCACCCGTGTGGGAGACCTGGAAGAGGCTCCGGGCTCCTGGCTTTGGATTGGCTCAGCTCTGGTCATTGTGGCCACTTGGGAGTGAATCAACAGATGGGAAATCTTCCTCTCTGATTTTTCTCCCTCTGTATATCTGACTTTCCAATAAATAAATAAATCTTTTAAAAATTCATGAGAAAATGAAATAAATAAGTAATAAACTGGGGATAGGCATTTAGCTTAGCACTTAAAATGTCAGTGAAGATGCCCATGCCCCATACTGGTTCGAGTTCTGAGTCCAGGTCCTGATTACAGCTTCTTGCTAACATGAACACAGGAGGCAACAGATGGTAGCTCAAGGCCAGTTTCCCATAAAGATGTCAGTTTAGGTCCTGGTTGCTTCACTTCTGATCCAGCTCCCTGCTTGTATCCTGGAAAAGCAGCAGAAGGTGGCTCAAGTGTTTTTTGCCCCTGCATTCACAAGGGAGACCCGGAACAAGCCCCTGACTCCTGGCTCAGATTGGTTTAGCTCCAGCCATTGTGGTCATCTGGGGAGTGAAGCAGAAGATGGAAGATGTCTCTCTCCCTTGCTTGCTTATTCTGTCGCTATCTCTCCTTCTCTCTCTTTAATTCTGACTTCCAGGTAAAATAAATCTTTTTTTAAAATTATCTTGATGCAAACAAATATGAAATCCATGTATTTTTCATGAATTTCTGGACCCCCTCATATACTTAAAAGAAATGAAAATATATTCATATATAACATGTGTTGAATATTCACTGTAGCTTTATTTCTAAGTCAAAAATAAGAAACAAACCAAATATATAGCAAAAAGTTAACAGAAAAATAACTGTGTGGGCCCGGCGCGGTGGCGCAAGTGGTTAAAGGTCCTCGCCTTGCACGCCCGGGATCCCATATGGGCGCCGGTTCTAATCCCGGCAGCCCCGCTTCCCTTCCAGCTCCCTGCCTGTGGCCTGGGGAAGCAGTCGAGGACGGCCCAAAGCTTTGGGACCCTGCACCCGCGTGGGAGACCCAGAAGAGGCTCCTGGCTTCGGATCGGCATAGTATCGGCCCGTTGCGCTCACTTGGGGAGTGAATCATCGGACGGAAGATCTTCCTTTCTGTCTCTCCTCTTTGTATATCCGCCTTTCCAATGAAAAAATAATAAAAATAAATCTTTAAAAAAAAATAAAAAAAAAGAAAAATAACTGTGTATATTCATGTTAGTCAGCAATAAAAAGAAGTGTATGTGTGCTAACTATTTTTTATAAACTTACTCACCATTATGCTAAACACTTAATGTTTCATCAGCATTCATCTAAATTTATGGACATGCCACAACCAGAAAGAGGATGGGATGACGTCCAAATTACTTAATCTCTATTCAAGAGTGATTAGGAAAAGCTCATGCATGGATTTCATGGTTTGTTTGTTTGTTTGTCTTATAGTTTCTGTTTGTAGCTTTTTTTTTTTACTGCATCAGCAATTTTGTTGATGCTGTGAATGGATATGATTAAAAGAAAAACTGTAATGTCAAGTAAAAAATGTGAAAGGCCCCATAAGAGCTTGGCATTCCATCCCAAGACTGAGGTTTTGGCTCTATTGTTTGTAATTATCTGCATCAAAGTTTCCGCATGTTGCTCTCCTTAGCTGGGACCTTAGTTTCCACTCTTTGACCAGCAGCTCAGAGTAGAGGTGTACTCTGTCTCCTCAGTTCTTTAGGGTTGTCCCCTGAACTGTGAAGGCTGACCAGAATACCTTCCAGGTAGTAGTCAATTCCTGAAGCTACCCAAAAGCTTGCAAGCAGAGGTGGCTGTTATATCACCTTCAAAGTTTCCTTTGCTCAGTGATTTTGCATCTGGCTAACAGTTCTGATCTATAATAGTAACAACTTTTTAAACCTTCATTATGTGCTAGAAACTATTGGAAGGTGTTTACATGAACTTTTTAATGCAACCCTTGTGTGAACCCTATGTACTATTTTCAAATAGACATTTTGCTGTTAAGAAACAGAAGCTAGGGGCTAGTGTTGTGGCACAATAGCTTAAGCCATCACTCATGATGTCAGTATCTCATATTTGAGTGCTCAGCTTGAGCCCCAGCTTCTGCACTTCTAGTTCCCCTTCCTGCTAATGTGCCTGGGAAGGTGGTCCAAGTATTTGGCTCCCTGCCATCTGCCTGGGAGACTAGCCTTCCCATCTCATTAAGTAACTCCACTGTTTATCCAGTCACTCAGGACAGAACATAGAAGTCATCTTCACTTGTCTTTCCTCCTAAGGACACCCACATAATTTATCATGTCCAATTGCCAAGTTTACAATTAAAACATATCCCCAAATCTGACCCCTTTCCACCATTTGCCATCCTATCAGTCTGACCTAAACCACCTTTATTCCCTGAGTGATTTATTCAGCAGCTTCTACTGCTTCCCTCGGCAATCCATTCTTCACAAAGCAACTGAAGTGAATCCAAAAGTTTTAAATCTGATGAAGTCATTTCTTTGCCTAAAATCCAATGTGTGCCCCCTTGTATTCAGAACAAAACCCAGTTCTTTCCTTACTCCTCTAATATTTCCAACCCCTTCCGCACCAACCCCTAGTTTTTCAAGAACAGAGACACTGGCCACTTTCAGTTCCTTGGGCATGTGTTTAGTCATGCATTTTCTCTGCATAAATACATTGAACTGTGGTTATTCAAAGCTGTTACATTTTCATTATAGCATTTTCATTGTCTGAAACTGCCATTTATTGTTTACTATCTTTCTCACACTAGGATGAAAGCTTGAAAATAGTAGGATTCTTGTGTGCTTTCCATACCTAGCA